ACTTGGCCTACGAGAAAATCCTTCTTGTTTTGTCACATTTTTCTTTTGAAGCATAACGGCCTTAACAACACCCACTTGTCTTTGTGCAACCCTGTGTTGCATAAAGACAAAGTGATCATCGAATAACTACTGGACAGAAAGGTGGAACAAATATTTAACACAAAGCACTCATGTAAAGTCGCTCCACAAGTACTCGCAAAACATACACCTACACACGGCCACATACCATAATCTAAGAAAACAAATATATATTTGACATACTTTGCTTTATTTTGCTCACACGCCAATAAATATTGCATTAGGGAACATAAAGGGATACCTAATGAAAATGGTACTGATAAAAGAGCTAGTCACAGACTAATCTCTGGTAATATCTTCAACAAGTGACTCCCGTCTGCACTGTAGGTATTTTTAACGGATTAACCGTACATTACATTACACAATTTGCCAAATACAGTTAAGTATCAGTTCTCCTTGTGTGGTTTCTCGTCCAGATGTGCTAGCTTTCTCTCTGTCACGCATCATTGGGAGTCTGGTAAATGATATATACTTAAAAAATAATTTCCATGTCAAAAAAGTCACAGTTTGTCGTAAGACTGTTGAAATATAAGACTATGAAAAATGCGCAACTAGAAAGACTACAAATCCCTGAATCCCGGTCCTGCATGCTGGCTCTTACGGAACCGACTAACTCTCCTTGTGTGTATGTACAGCTCTCAACATGCCCAGACTTGTAGTGATTTTCACCTCTTTTAATACTTTTCGCCTCATTCTGAAAGAAAGAAGTGAAATGTGCCAACGTGGCGGACGTCTTGGTGTGTGGTGCGAGATAGGAGATGTAGTTCATTGAGCGGTTTCACCCAAAAAAAAGTGTTACTTCACAGTTTTACGACACATTTTAATTTTTTTGACTTGCAAAATTATCTTTTACATCATATGTGTAATTCGTGGCACAATTCAAACGGAATCGAAAGATAATCTTTCTCTCCCCATTGACTTCAATACATACTTTTTCCGAAATAAGGTCCCATGGAGCTCCCCCGGAAAGGGAGGGACTTCGCCTCTCTATTGCCCTCGCCTTAATGACTTGCATTGCTTTCAAAGCTTAGAGTCTAAAAATCAGCTTCAAAATCAGTCCTTTTGTTAGATTAATAAATGATTTGTTGCTCAAGAATGATACGGACATTTCATACCTGGTTAAATTTCCTTTCTTTATGAAGGAAATGTATCAGTTTATATTTATATCATAATTTACTAATGTAATCAATCTTTCAACGCATTACAGGGTTAGTGTAGTTTCATGTTCGTTTTTCGCAGTACAACCTTTATTTGTGAGTGCCAGTGAACCGTTTCCATTGATCCTTGCCACTACTGTCCACCCTTTGCATTTAGATTTGGAGCTGTGCGTTGCCACTTCCCAAAATATCTTCAACAGTTGAGAAGAAAGGCATTTAACCCAGAAATGAATGACCTTATGAAATTGATTTGTAGTTAAATTTGGGGTCTTTTTTACTGCAGTTGCTCGTGTAAACTCCATGATTGTGAAACAGTTTGGTTACTTCCCTCTTCCCATTGTTTTTATTTGATTCTTTTCCCGTCTTGCAGGCTGAAGCCAAGAAGAAAAAGAGAAGTAGCGAGGAAAAGGACAAAATCACAGTGAGACATTAACTTACTTTCATTGTTTAAACAAGTGCAGATAGTGAGACAGATTTTTATTTTAAGACTGCAACAAAGACACATTTTAGGAATGCACAAATGAGTAAGTAGCATTGTAACATTAGATGGTTCGGACAGGTTGTACATGAACTGTATCTACATTAGACCGATCCGGCATAGTATCAGCTGTTGGGGACGCAGCAATATATATGTGTGTCTACTCAACCAGAAAGTCCCTAGCAACAAAAAAAGAAACTCATTTGTTTGGCTATAGCTAATCACGCTGTGGCATTGATACTAACTTAAGAGAAATGACTGACTAGTATGTTTTTGTACACAGGACAAATCCAAGAAGAAGAGGAAAAAGAAGCACAAGAAACACGGCAGAAAAAAGAAAAAGAAGGCAGCTTCTCATTCAGACACGGAGCTCGACTAATGCCCGTGTCTCTGCGCGTCTCTCGTCGTGTTGTTTTTGCCGCTGACCTCCACAAAACCCTCCTATCCAGCTTTGGTCATCACAATTGAAAAATATACGTACAACCTTGCCATGCTGGGGTTTTTTGAGTGAAATTGAGGCAGGCAGCTATCTGTGGCAACTACCGGTTCATGTTTACTGTTGATTTGTATCACCTTGCTTTTGTAGATAATTGTTCTTTCACCCACGGGACTGAGGTGAATTCCCCGTATTTCCCCCCCCCCCCTTATCTTGGAGACTTCAGCGTGACCTGCTCTCACCTTCACCCTGGAGCTCCTCTTCTCTCCACTTCACACCCCCACATCTCACATTTCTAGTTGCTAAATGAGGCCGTCCTGCTAGTGCCTGCGTCGTGCATGTAGACCTGATGTCCCCCCAGCCTCATATTGAAGTTGGACTTATAAGAAATGTGAGCTGCAGAGTCAACATTTATACAAAGGATACTTGTTCCGTTAGATGAATTGTTACAGTTTTGTGTAAATGAATAAACAATGGCAATTCATCAATAAAGTCTTGTTTTAACCTTTATTGCTGTTAATAAGTTACAACCTTTATTGTGAGATTATTTGATATGTTGTTTGTGTGGGCATAAACACAGATCATACATTGATATAAACCGTCAACCGTTGGATTTAATTTGTGGTTACCCTGCCTCAATTATAAATCTTGTTCTGCTTTGTCACACTTCCTTAAAAGTTAAGGAAACTAAGCACTACTCGAAAATACAGCTCCTTAAAAAGCTTCCTATTCCGGAAATGTTTGAAAATTGTTTGAATGCCTTTAGACATGTGGATAATGTACCACACGTATACTATCAGATATCCCATTGTGTTTCCATATGGCTCAAGTATTTCTGACTTGACTTGTGAACTATTAATGCCAATTTCTTAAAAAATAAAATACAAAAAAAACATGAATTGGTTGAGAAAGTATTCAGATCAGATTAAAATTGTTTTTTTGTATAGTTAGAAAATGTCTTGCATTCCAAACCTTAGCAGAGGCACCAAAGTGTCATCGTCAAAATATACTTACATTTTCAGAATAAAGTAAAGGCCCCCTTTAGGCAAAATGGTCCACAGTGTGTTTCTGGATTATCCTTTCTTATCCCTTCATCTAAGCACCATTTGAATGTACACTATATAGACCAAAGTATTGGGCCACCTACAGGAGCTTTTATGACATCCCATTCCAAATTCTTAGGCATTAATATGAAGTTGGTCCCTCCTTGGCAGCTATTACAGCTTCCACTCTTCTGTGAAGGCTTTCTACAAGATTTTGGAGTGTGTGGGAAATATTGCCCATTCATCCAGAAGATAATTTGAGAGGTCAGACACTGATGTTGGACGAGAGGACCTGGCTTGCAATCTCTGTTCTAGTTCATCCCAAAGGTCAGGGCTCTGTGCGGGTCAGCCAAGTTCTTCCACACCAAACTCATCCAACCATGCCTTTATAGACCTTGCTTTGTGCACTGGGGCAGTCATACAGGGTCATACCGTCCCTGTAACTACTCTGGTCTTGAAATAACGTTACGCATCGAACTGATGTCCACAATCACGTTTATTTACCTCTTGGTACAATTATGAAACACCGTGAAAACGTGTTCACCTAGTAGACCAGCAGTAGAAAAGGCACGTTATTAACATCGTTGACACTTTTAGCGCCGTTTTACTCTCTCACAAACACAATGTAAACATCCGGATCCGGGGCTAGAGGTCACATGACTTCCGGAAAGATAACTCTTATAATTTTTAACAAAATAAAACAAAGTTCTAGCACTCTTCAAAAAATACAAAACAATAAATAAGGGCACTTTGAGCGTCAGCTACATTGCCCAAACTGTTTCCACAAAGTTGGAAGCATAGAATTGTCCAAAATGACTTGGTAAGACTAAGATGAGGCATTAAGAATCCCCTTCACTGGATCTAAGGGGCCTAGGCCAACCCCAGAAAAACACCATAGCATTATCCCTCCTCCACCAAACTTTACAGATGGCACAATGCAGTCAGGCAGGTAACGTTCACCTGGCATTCGCCCAACCCAGACGCGTCCATCAGACTGCCAGATACTTTAATAATATCATTGTGTGATTCTTATTTGCTAATGTTTATCTATATTTACTACTTTCACTTATTTGCTAAGCTTATGAAAATTCCTTATTAAGAAGATTTGTTGCAGTGTTGTTAGTTACCAACAACTCAGTTGAACTGAGAACATCCTTATCACCAAGCTTTACCCCTCCCTTTCTCCTCTCTCTGTGTTTAAATATGCAACCCAAACTCTATTCTTTGTCTTTTACTCTGCAGACTGTATGCTCTGCGGAGCCATTATTTAATACTTAACATAGTGTTGGTAAGTGTATAGTAATGACTGCTGTCTTTAAATTTGATCACATATTTTTAAGTAAAATATTTATCAGCAGTAACTAATAATGCAGTGAAGTAACAATGCCATTATCTATTGAAGTAGAAAGTAGCAGAACATCGAAATTAGGGCAAAGTGCATATACCTCTTAATTGTACTTAAGTATACTAATTAAACGTACATAGTTTAAGACATACCATGGTGCTATGTAATTAATTAAGAAAGATGCTAATATCCAAAAAAAGGTATATGAACCACTGTTAGTTTATAAGTAACATTTGATTTGAGTATTTAACATTTAACCTACTTCCTCATTTGAAAAAAACATTTATTGCATCAATAGTTTTTCAGGTTTTACAGGCAGGTCTTGTGATGTTGATCAATGAAATGGCAACAAAGGTCAATGTGAGCCTTCCTTGTTTAATCATTGAGGTGTAGGAGTGTTTTCAGAAACGTCCACTGTCATGATTTGACAATCACATGATGACCCACAGCCACAGGGTGTGTGTACAGTTGGATTTATAGTGGGAGTGTCTGACCTGCCTTATAAAAACTAATGCATTCATGCTTCAGTTCAGGGGAAGTGTAACCGTAGCACAAGAAGCTGTTGAAACACTTGCAAGGTAAGTGATAAGAATAATCTGCCTCAAATCCTGTATACTTTACGGTTTGTTATTTACAGTCACAACGTCTATTAGTACTGTTCAGGGATATCCTGAGATTAAAGAAGATTAAAGACCAAGCTCAAATGAAACTGAAAGTTGAAGCATGTGAAGAAAATCAAAGACGTTTAAATCACAATGTTGTTTATGAACTGGAAATAATCTGTATGAGACATCTAGTGGAACTGCAGATAATGTAACTCATTTAACTGATTTAAATTAACCTCATATTATTACTGTTTTGCAGATGTTGAGGACTACTCTGTGGTTGTTAGTGGGAGTGTTTGTGTGGGGGTTTGCATCCTGCATCACATGTCCTGACGGGAACCACTGCAGTGATAACGCCACCTGCTGTATGACTGTGCATGGATATAGCTGCTGCCCATATCCCAATGTAAGTCACTTCAAAACATACAGTAACACAACATGTAGTTATAAAGACTAACGTTTATCTCTATGCGCATTTATTTGTCTTTAGGCTGTGTGTTGCGCTGACCTGGCCAACTGCTGCCCTTCAGGGTTTCGCTGTAACCTGGTCACTCACATGTGTGAGAAAACACCATGGATGAGAATCCCCATGGTGAAGAAGGAAGCTGCAGAGAAACCAAGCACTCCTGTTCGACCTGCATCTCCCATCCAGGAACTCCAAAACAATGCTGTACCAGAGCAAACGAAGAGTTCAGATGTCTACTGTGACAACTATTTCAGGTGTCCCAATGGCTATACCTGCTGCAGACACCCAACAGGAGCCTGGTTCTGTTGCGGGTACTCTGTTGTGAGTTGACCTTCATAGGATTGTGCAATGAGACACATGACTATGAGGAAATTCCTTTTGTTTATGTCGGCACGACAGGTCAAAGCAGGAATCTCGAAGTTTGAATTCCAAACAAAGAGAGTTCTCTTTTATAATTCTTCAGTATTGGATCTACTCTGCATTTAATGTAAAATATATATATACAAAAAATATATATATGTTATTTGAAATATGTTAAGTTTTTCCTCTTTCACTTCTAAATGTTTTTATGTCTTTGATTCTGTTTTTTTAGTTGCATGTTTTTCTTTTCATACATATTGGTTTTAGAATGGTCAAGTCAAGGGCGGTGATCCAATAATCTGATTGCCAACTACTGCTTCTGTTACCGTCGTGCATTTGACAATGATTAACTTGTTACTTGTTTTAAAATGTAGGGCTGGTGTTGTCTGGACGGCTACCACTGTTGTCCATACGGCTACAACTGTGACCTCACATATACACACTGTGTGAGGCAAGGCCTGAGCTATCCCTTCAGCCCCAGAGAAAGTCTCACCTCAATCCCTGCCTCTCCCATTTCAACTTCAGAGGACAAAAGCATCATACAAGAGGTATGACATATGGCAGTAAATGTGCCTTTATGTGGAGTATAAATCCTGGGGATGGGTATCTCAATGACCATCATCAACAAAGGTCCTGAAAGTCTGTCCTCAATCAGCTTTAATGTAGGTGATGGGGTTCTACACAAGTTTTCACAGGAGTTTTTTACTTGTAGGCTTTCTTCCTGTCATTTGTTTTACTGGTTTGAGGTGGGCGGGGGTCAGATGAAAAGTGATCACACATCATTCTGTGCACCAGTTGACAGTTGTTGGTTTGTTTGCTTATGTTGGCAGGCCACTGGCATTCCAATATGATCAAATCAAACCTAAAAAGTGTTCTCTTCCTCGTATGTGTTAACTTACTTGGCAATAAACCTGTTTCTGATTCTTAAAACAAATCTTGATAAATAATACTGAAGGCTTTTTCCCTGAAAAGAAAGAAACCTCTTACCAATATTCAAATTTTAAAAGTTAAAATTACTTTGTGTATAAAAGATTTGTATCTACATGCCAAGTATTTATAGTTAAATATGTATTTAATAGCAAGGTCATTTTGTGTATCCCTTTTGCAGACACCAATGACGGTTCTGACAGAAACCAAGGATGGTAGCCCTGAGGCTGGAGTCATTCGCTGTAATGACAAGTTGTACTGCTCACCAGGGACATCTTGCTGCAAAGACACCAAAGGCAATTGGAGCTGCTGTCCCTTCCCACTGGTATGAATTGTCCATGACACATGAAGGCCATCAAAAAGTAATGGTGCTGTGATCTGAAGGGAACTATTATGCAAAAGTGTTAAGACAAACAGGAAAATATAAGCTTTAAAACACACAACAACTTAATTATCAACATAATTTGAAAGTGCATTTTTCCACACTATAAACACCTAAAACTGATGCATCTGACATATGTTTGTTTTGTTCAGTAAATAAATGAGCTTATCCACTTGAGTGTGGCACTTTTCTAGTCAATACTACCATTTCCTAACATCCAGACCTTTTCTGTTTCAGGGCATGTGTTGTAAAGATGGTAAGCACTGCTGCGAGTATGGCTTTTCGTGCTCCTCCACCTCCCTGTCATGTGAAAGAGGGTACGCTCACATGCCATCAGGACCCCGGGAACATGCCAAATCAACCGAGGACATGTTGTAAAAGTGTGTGCACTGTGATAGCTTTGGGATTGTCTTGATATATAGTTCTGGCCAAATCAAACAATGAATCATAAGACCTATGCAAATGAAGTAAATAATGTGCTTACATCCTCAAAAGATGACTTGGTGGCTGTTTTTCTTTTCGCAAGGGATGGCATATTTTCAATATCCAGTTTATCGAGACTTCTTGCAAAAGTTTGTATTCATTGCAGTGGTGTAGTAGGTCTATTGAGGATTTTTTATCTGAAGATGTCAATTGAGAAATAGATCATCACAGATGATTTAATGCCAATCTCATTTTTTTTATTGATCACTTTTTTATGTAACAGAAAATATAACATTTTATAAACTTATTTTAATACGAATATGCCAATGTGAGTGAATTTCATTTGTTCTCCTGCAGCCTGAAATCCTTGTGTCACTGGGCGATGGTACACTCACCCAGTGGTGTAAAGTAACTAAGTAGATACTGTACTTAAGTACAATTTTGAGGGACTTCAATTTCTAGCTTCTTTGTACTTCAACCCCATTACAAATCAGAGTTAGATCGTGTACTTTTACTTTACTACATTATTTAATACCTTTAGTTTATTTGCAGATTTGAATGAATGATTTTAGAAAAACAATCAACACTTAAAAAAGGACTTTAGTTACACCTAGAGTAAAACTCATAAGCTAACTCGCAGCATACAAAGTACTTAAAACACCTTTACCAGCTTTGATAACACTTTAATGCATCAATTATTATAATCAGAACATAATATTTTGTGACGTGCCAATTTGCATAATGAGTACTTTTACTGTTGGTACTTTAAGTATATATTTAGATGCTAATTGTGTACTTTTAATTGAGTAACATTTTGATTGCAGGACTTTTACTTGTAACAGAGTATTCCTACACTCTGGTACTTCTACTATTATTTAAGTGAAAGATCTGAGTACTTCTCCCATCTCTGCACTACCAGTGTTTCCCCATACCAATAAGGATACATTTTCCAACTGTGTCGTTTGTCAAAGGGCTTTTACTTTGAAAGGAAACAAACGGAAGTGTCATTTACATTCCGGAAGGCTCACTTTCCTTTGTTCCGGTGTGTATGGTTCCGCTTAGATGGTGGAAAGATGATTGAAACAGAACTTGAAGTGTTTGTTTCCGAGCGGCTACATGCTGCTGTCTCTGAAATAATGGGTGTTTTTAAAAAGACGTTAAAGGGTTACGAGCAGCAGGCGGCCCGACTCAAGGAGGAAAACCAGCGCAACCGTTCGCTGTTGGACATGATCCTTAAAGCTCAAAAAGGTTCGTCTGGTTGTATAATGGCGAATAATCTCTCCTCTTTCTCTTCTTCTTCTTTGCTTTAATGGCGAGTCGCAACCACTTAGAGCATTATGGCCACCTACTGTTGATTTATTGAATCTTCAAGTTAAATCTTTGTCCTCAGACCAGTGTTTTTGAGAAACTTGAAGATCAGTTTGTGAACTTCATTTATTGAGTTACTTGCTAATATTGACTTGAAATCCATGTCCTTAATGTTATGTTGTTCCATTGCAGTTTTCAGAATGAGTCTTTGCCTAGTATATTCCGGGCAGCTAAAAAATACATGATTTATTGTCTCAGACTCTGATAATTGGCAACCATCACAATTGCCAGTTGGATATTTTCCAATAAAATACAGTGATGAGTTTAATCCGGAGTGACCCAATTTTATCCTGCTGATAATGTTCTGTTCTCTTCTATTACTCCCCCAAGTGCTTTCCATTCGTACTTCCCTTTGTATCTGGTATAAATGTCTTTAGTGTTACTGTCCCATAACCTTTACCATTGTTGCTTGATAATAACTTTCGTAAATGAGTTTACTTCTGCCCTACTGATAGTAATTCCTCCTCTTTCTCTCTCTTCCTCTCTGTCATTTCAATATTCAGTTTTGCAATTAATGTACCAGGGACGATATTACCAAAACCTCAAGTTATAATGAGAATATTATAAAAAGAACAAATTACAGTTCTTAAAATTAGGAAAATTGTAGAAATATCCATTAACCCTCACTCTGTGTTTGTGAGAGACTGTGTATGTCCTTGTATGAGTACATTGGATCCTCCAAGCAATTCAAAGTTATTCAAAATCATCCAGTGTGTTTCAAGTTCATTAGTTTCTCGTAGGATAACAACGATAAGTCATTTATAGCCACTCTCTGTTTCTCAAACGTGTTTTTTAAATATGTAATATAACTACTGCTCCTTCGCATCTGTTTTTCACTTTACTCTGCATTAGGTCGCCCCATTAAAAGCACCCCGGTTGTTGTTGGTCCAGTTGCATCCGATTCAAGTACTGTCAGCAAGGTCGAAAACATCCAATGCTCCAATAGTGGTAAGACTTAAGTCAAATCAGTTCATTAAGATTCTATGAGACACTTGAAAATGACTGAAGTTGTGTCTCTGACATTGACACCATTACTCACCCCAGTGTGATGTGCTACATCAGTCATTACATTGTAAAACCTTACATAACTATTAAGTGCAACTTCCCTTTCAATAACTACAAAACACTCATTGTTTGCTCAAATGTCTCCTATGTCTAATACCACCCTCGAAGGGAAAATTGGCATTTCAGTCATTCTGAATGAGGCTTTTGATAGGATGTCTCAAACCTGAATAATTATAATAAATACCATACTATCTTGTAAAGTAACTATACGATATCTTCATTTGTTTTCCAGGCTTGTGGTGTGTCTTCTCTTCACGCAACGACTTACTAAAGCATGCAAGTGGTGACAACTGTTCCTACTGCTTGAAGAGTGTTCCAGCCACTAAGACGCATTTGATAGAAAAACATTATCTAAATGCAGTCCATTTGACTGATAATGGCACCGGTACGTTTTATTTACATCAAAGTACGATGATACTTTGTTCATTACAATGGGTCAACTTAGTTGAGCATATTCTGAAGAAAGCTAGCTGATAAAAGTGTTGAGTTATTTAAGGTAGTAAGTTCAATATATTTTCTCTTCTCAGAAAAATGTGTGATCCCCTGTACATGCAAAGATTTTAGCCAAGGCAGAAGTCACTGGCACTGCCCATGTTGCACGAGGATCATTAGCCGGAGAACCAACTTTCAGGTGCACATCTCTAAACAACCTGGTATGTATCAGTCCTTAAAATTCTCCATGTTTTAAGTTTTGCTTTAAATAACTGCTGTACATTACATTTAGCTGACGCTTTTATCCAAAGCGACTTACAATGACCAATTACAGGGACATTCTCCCTGGAGTAACTGAGGGCTAAGTGCCTTACTCAGGGGCAAACTAGTGGTGGTGTTCCAGGCGGGATTTGAACTCATGACCTTCCGATCACTACTACTACTACTACTACTACTACTACTACTACTACTACTACTACACCTCCAATAATAATGACTAAGCCTCTTAGTGACTATAATATCTCTCTACGTTTCAGGGTATGCAATACTGCAGAAAAGCCAAGATGCAGGTTAGTTTGCAATATGTCTGATGCCCCTCAGTTGTTCTTAAATAATGAATTACTATCCATTTCTGAACAATGCTGTAAACATGGTTATGTTGCTAATTGTTATATTCCATGCACCAAATAAAAAAACAGCACCTGCATAGCTATGAATTCATATTTGTCAAAATAAGACCTTAGAGTGTTAATGTTTTCATTCACTGAGCATCAGAAATAAATCGTTTGATGGTGTATTGACTGCAAGAAAAAAGATATTATGCAGTCTATCAATGTTATTAAATACATGTATCTGTCTTTCCTCACAAATCATAGATAGGCCCAATGTCTCTGCCTTTGAGGAGGTCCCCCTGACTCTTGGATCTTGTAGTGAGCAGGACAAACAAGGTAGAAGAGCTTTGCATGCATATCTTCACTTTCACTGCATGTACAGACTTGTGATAGAAACAACTGAATGTGTTTGTTCTTTATTCCCAGTGAGTCACCCCAAGTGCCAGGACTCAGTGCAGATCGAAGGGAAGCAAATGCAACAAAGTAACAGTATATTGAGCTTTGTGGCAGATCATGCCTCTTTAATTGTTTGTTCTAACAGTTATACTCAAGATCTCAGCGAAACATTGAACACTGTGGAAAGTGGCAAAGCAAAACCCCTTCCTAATACTTCAAATCAACCTCTGGAAACGCAGCCTGATCGTGGGGATGGTGGAATATTGCAGCCAACTGGGGAATCTCAGCACCACAAACTTTGTTCTAGTGTAAAGTCATCCAACACCAAGAGGAATATGCAAGTGAAAAGATCTTTTAGTTTAAAGATTAATAAGTCAACCAAACTATCTGTCAGTCAAAATCTCAAAGGTCCTCATATATGTAAAGCATGTGGAAACACTTTCCATTACATGTACAAGCTGAAGGCACACACACAAACACACGCACTGGATAAAACCAAGATTTGTGGAATCTGTGGAAAACATTTGGAGTCCAAAGAGAGTTTCGTCAAGCACCTTCACAGCCACACAAAGAGAAACAAAAAACAAAACAAAAGTGGTGTATGTGGGGCAAAAGGCATAGCAGATTTCACAGACCAAGGGGTCTAAATATCAAGTCTCCAACCAACAAACAAAAACTTCTGTGATCCTTGTTTTAGATAAGTGTACTTATGGGAAAACTAATTGAGTTCTAGTGCTGTCCAAAATATCTCAAGCCAGATTTTCATGAAAGACTGTTATTGCAATTTTGGTTATGGGAAATTAATGAAAGTCTACACAGCAAAGTTTGGTTAAAACGTCAATGGCAATGCTGGTCATGTGGGGGCTTCACATTTCTGTTTAATGCTGGCCGTAGTGTTTTACTGATGAGTGCAGTTGGTTGCCTGCTGTGTTTTGATCCCAACTTGCAAGTTTTGTCATATCTGTCCCATAAAGTGGTGAGTGTGTCCATGGCAGAAAGGAAGGGGGCGGGAGGAAAGACTTGAGTTCCAGTGCTGTGCAAAAACTCAACTGTGTTTTGTATATAATTGTTTTCCCATACAGTGTTGTAGACCTGAATAAAAAAATATTCAAAGTCAAATCTATTCCTTGTGCATTTGTTTCTCCAAATTCCTCAGTTCGAAAGTTAGAGGCTATTTGGTGCCAACAAAAAATCTAAACGTTAAGAATTATTGTGGAAGTATGAGAGAGTTGAAAAGTGTTTCTGTTGAGTTTGTTCTTCTCAAGCCAGATTTTCATGGAATCCCCAAGGCTATTATTGCCATTTTTGTTATAAGGACGAGACTACAGCAGAATTTGCTTAAAATGTCAATGGCAATGCTGGTCATGTACTGTATGGGCTTAACACTACTGTTGAATGGACTGTCCTCCCAGCCAATCAGTGAGTTTATGAGTGTTTTACTGAGGAG